TCTGCTCAAGCTCACTGACCTTGGCCACATTGGCGACATTGGCCGCTGCTTCCACCTTGGCTTTCCTCTCAGCTTCTTCCACCGCTATGGCTTTGTTGGCGAGCTCTGATTCGAGCTCTGCCATTCTGGCCGCGTAGCTGGTTTTCGCTTCCTCAGATTGTCGCATCTGCGCCTGTCTGTGTGATGACAGAATGCGCTTCTGAAGCTTGCCTTCCACAAACACACGTGCGTTGCACACTGCCTCGGAAGCCTGATGCCGAGCACAGGATGCTGCACAGCTGGCGAGCATGAAAGACCTCAGCCGAAGCCCAAGCCGGCAAAAGCTCGAACATAGTCCCAGGCGAGGTTCGTCCTCTCTCAGCTCCGAGCGGATTGGACGCGCATTGCCCCTGGAACGAGTGAATTCTCGTGAGACGTGCTCAGCATGAAACACCCGATCCAGTGCCAACCACATAGGCATGCTGTGACGGGAATTAACCAAGAGCTAGGAACTTCCCCTGAAAACCCACCTGTTCTCGTGATTCTGATCATTGGTTAAACGTGCAATCAATACGCCGAGGAACAAAACGGGTTGCGAACTGCACGGCCCGAAACCGAGAGTGTGTTGCCAACCGGTTCTCCACTGATTTTTGTCACCCACCTGGCACACGGAATCGATACTTACTCGGTACATCACCTCCCGAAAGTCCAGGCGAGCCCGATGCCTGGGCTTTGTTACCAGCACAATACCGCAAGGCTACGCCGATACTGAAGCCACCCAGGGCATGCTTCCCGACCCATCTCGCCTGAGCAGCCCAGCATTTGCAGTCAAACTCCTTAGCAGCTGTGCCAATCAATGGGCAGTTTTCCAAAGCGCCAAGTCTCCGAGGTCCTGACCAAGTGGCTGTCTTTGAGATCCTTAGAATCTCCGTCAGCTGACGAGCAGAGAAAGCCAGGCCGGGGGCAGGGCCTCTTGTGCGGCTGCAGCCAAAACCAGGAAGAGACGAAGCTGAGCCGTGAGGCCCATCATACTGTGGCTTAGGCCGTGCTGTGTGCTTAACTGCTAGAAACGGAGAGACACTCTTGCAGGCTGGGGACACCTCGTGCATTGTCGCGAAAACTGGGGCCTGCTTCCCTCTTGCTTGAAAGCGAGCTTGCACCGTGCTTTCTGGAAAACACCTGGCACATGCACCAGTCTACGCGTTCTTGCAGATCAGCATCGACCCGCTATGCCGCTATGCCCGCCCTGCAATCAACTTCCCGAGTTTCAAAGGCCCTCGGGGTCTCGGGACCCTCGGTCTCTCAACAGGCACCTCTGGTGATATTTTGACTCGACAAGGTTCTTGGTCTTACTGACTGACAGACGGTGACTCAGTGAAGTCGTACTGTACATGTGTCATCCGACTGTGCTCGAGGGGTGAAAATGCGAAGCTCTTGCAGACTGCTGCCCGCCTCACTCTGTGTCTCGTTTGAGAGGCCTCCCAATGGTTGAGCCTTTCGGCTGATCCGGGGAATCTCTGCGGAGGTGAGATCGAGCAGCATGGGCCAGCCACTTTGAAAGAGCCACATGCAACAGAAACCCAGCGAAGGCGATGCCCAATGCCAGCCAGCCTGCAAACATAACAAGATTCGCCACGTTGCCATTTAAGCCGCCAACTTCAATCGCTGCACCGATGCTGCTCGTGATGCTGAAGCTTCTGAAACAAAACTTGTCGCTAAGTATAAAGTCGGTGGACAGAAGGAAGCCTGCCAGTAGCAAGCACACTGCTGAAGTGAATGCGAGGAACTTCTGACCGCACTTCATATTGGGCCATTCACTGGCTTGGCGCAATGCCTCGGTGTACACAGCCTCTTTGCGAGTGAGTTCTGCAACCGCCTCATGTTCTGGGCGTGGCATAGCAAGGGCTGGTCCATCCTCCTCAATGACCTTCATAATCCGATAGCTGACGAAGAACATGGCAAGTGCCTGAACAACAGCTGCTGCCATAGTAACAGAGCTGGAAACCATGCCCATAATTCCAGATTTGCCGTCGGCCAGCGTCTGGAATGCACCCACGAGTACTTGTGGCGCGATGCTTACCAGAATAACTGGGGTGGTTCCTAACAGCATTTGGGGGATGTTCAGCCTCAGAATGCCGCAAAGAACGCTTGTAGGCCAATCCGGACCAGCTACGAGAATGCCAACTTTGTCAGGTTTCAAGCCATTTTGCTTGAGAATCTGTTCCATTGCGCGAATTGACACTTTGTCAACACCAACGAACTGTTGCACTTTGACTGACTTGCCCATCATATAACCCAAGCCGTACTGCAGGCAGCAAGCAATCAGCTTGGCCAAAGAACTTAACGCAGAAGCGGAGATGACTCCAAGGGGAAATCCAACTGACCCTGGCAGCTGTGACTGCGCGCCAAAGATCACACCAGAGAACAAATACACAGCACTCCCAGGTACGATTGGACACAGGAACATTACCAAGGCGACAGCCAGCACCAAGACTGCCAAAACTGCGAATGGCAACTCTGCAGCAGCCAGTGTCTCGTTCAACCAGGAAAAGAACACATAGGTGAGCTTCATGCCGACAATTAGCGAAACGAAAATTTCTCCCAGCGTGGCGATCTTCTGAAAAATACTGCACCAAGTCCATTTGGTCATCTCGCCAATGATCTGGCGACCTTCCTTGGTAAATGGAGACGTATCGTCGCTCGGGGCCAGGCCTGTGCATCGTCGGATTCTTTGCCTGAGCCTATCTAGTATGGCCAGGGTGGGGACGAACACATTCAGGCCACCAATCACCAAGGCCTTCATCCAGTCAGACTTGGCTATTGCAATCAAGCTTTTGGTCAAGCCATCCTGTTGAGTACTTTGGTGAAGTCTTTCAAACCCGAACTCGAGCAACATGAACAGCAAAATCGCCGTCATGGATCCGGCTCCCAGTGCAAGCAGCGCAGAGCTTACAGTAACATCTGCCCCGGAGACGTACTGCGCACTGTACATCATTCCAAGCATAAGGACAATCAGCGATGCACATAATTTGAGAACTTTCTGGAAATGCTGCACATCGCCCTCTCGTTCAAGCTCGAGAGCCGAAGCTGCTTTAGCAAAAACCCAACATACCCCGGCGACTACGGAGTTGCAAATTCCCAGTACGCAAGGTGCTGCCCACTGCAGGAACCAAACTGTCTCTGACTTCTGGCATGCTGATTCTATGGCTGCGGTTTCATCATCCGCCAAATTCGCCGGCAAACTTACGCTGGTACCGTTGATGCTGCAGTAGTTCTGGAACTCCCACGATTCATTTCCGTATATATAGCTGTACACAGCGCCATTGTTGATCGCGAGGCGACCTCTCGTTGACGAGCTCCAAGTGTTGTCAGTGACACCTTGCCACCCAATCCAGGTGGATATGAGCAGAAAGGCAGCCACTACGAAACTCATGGCAACTGCGCCGAAAAAGTCTTGGCCTGGAACCGTCGCTGGCTTAAAATGGTGCACGCGAATATAAGCAACTGATGCCACTGCCACACCGAAGCACACGAAACCACCCAGCCACGGGTAGCTGATGTACTTTAGCGTTGCGGCTGCTAAGAAGCAGCACGTGGACAGAAGTGCTACCGTCAGTCTAATGCAAATTGGCCGACGATGAGCATCAATCACAAAAGCAGAAGCTAACAGAATTGCACACATCCCAGCCAGTCCATTACCTGCGAGGTCAGCTGTGCTGCTTGCCATGTGCTCAGCAACTTGTGGTGCAACCCCCATGCTGGAAAATGCCACCACAGCAACAGATTCTGGCAGAGTGATGACCAAGAGAGCAGCGAAAACCATTTGCCAAACGGGTGCAGCATCCCCGTCTCGAATGACCGACATGCTGACCACTACATTCTACGAGCTACTTCTTGTATACGCGTTTTACTAGCCTTGAGCCGAATCCGTGAATGCGTGCAGGCTGCCAGTCCGCAGAACTTGCCAGACATGTCGCTTGCGAGCATCCAGCATGGCATCGCCTGCTGGCCCAGTGCGGCACGATCTGCCGCGCACCCAGTGGCCCGGCTGGAAACTCTTCCCACTTGCAAGCTCCGCCTCATGCTTTGTTGTTTTGGGCCGCCCGTCTCTGCAATCGACCTCCACGTATGTGAAATTACCGAGGGCATTGCTCGGCTAAACGGAGGGAGAGTGAATCAAAGCAAAGCTGCGCCACGTCGTATGACGCAAGACGCATGCAATGCGTGAGCAGTGATACGAGATCCTAGGCAAACAGTCGTCACACAAGTTTACCACAATAAGGATACCGTCTTTTGTCTGAGTCGGACCTGCGACTTCAAGGCTTGGAAGCACATTCTCAGAAGTGGCCGTTCAAGGACGGTGAGCAGCTCAAACTCGGCTTGTTTCTTGAGCCTCTTGAGGTACGAGTGGTGTGCCTCTGCATCCTGCAAATTGACCATGTCGCGCTTCTGCGTCTTGAGATCCCATTCGAACCAACACTGCGAGCTTCTGGGAGACAGTTGCTTCGGTTCGTGTGCCGTCATACCAGAAAAAGGCGTGCTGGGTGGTGGTATCTGCACTACCTTCTGAAATCTAGCTACGACGAAGACCATGTGATCGGGCAAGGAATCGGTCACAAACGTTGCCACTTTGAGCCGCGTTTGTGACAGGACAACAGTGACCGCCATCGCGAAGGTTTTCTTGGATGCAGAGTCTCCATTTTTCTGGGCGACAAGGGGTTCGACAATGATGACATCACCAACCTGAACTTCCGCTCGGAAGGCTGTCCCAAATCCGACGACCTCGTCTCCGGAGACGTCGATCTTCCCGGTGCCGGCACTGACAAAAAGTGTTCCCATATTGAGAATCTGTGGAAGGCTGCCTTCGCCAGACCACTTGCCCATTTCCATGACAGCTGTCTCTGCCTCCGGTCGTAAAGTGCTTGGATCATATTCCATGCTTTCGACACGCATTGCTTCATAGGCAGTGTGACCATCGTCGTTTGATTGATGTTTCCGGTGGATGACGGCGCACATCTCTTCAAGAACAAGTTGCAGAGACATGTGGATATTTAGAATGCACTCGTTCATCTTGAGACATTTGGCTCGGACCTCACGCAAAGCAACCGTACAGCCATACAACTCAACTTTTGCCAGGTCCTCTTTCGTCACAAGGGCACCTTTCGTGAAGTCATCCACCTCGTTGTCTAATGCCGGCTGAACACTGCACATGTGCGTGTGAGTGTGGACACCTTATGCACCGGCACATCTACCTGCCTGCTAGCTCAAGCCTGACGTCCGCAAGAAAGCAGAACAAGAGAACATATCTCTTGATTGATGTTTGAGATCTTTTATTTTAGCGACAAGTTATGCTGCAGACGTGGGTGCCCATGTCAAGAGGCAGACGCAAACGCAGAAAGGTTTCAACCAAAGTGGTACGGGTACTGAAGTTCAACTCAAACAAGTTACTCTGCGACTGTCATGGGGTTGCATGTGGGATTGTGGATTCAGTTTTGCCCCCTAATCCGTCCCTGAGTCGGACATGAAAATGCATTAACGAAACTCAGTCCCATCTGATTTACAGCGGCCTGCCCCCTGTGGTCCGTTATCTCTTTGGAAACAACCGTGTCAAAGTCTAGCCAAGGTAACCAACCACGGAAGAATTGGCGGCAATCCATGCCAACAAAAAAAATCATAGTACCCACGCAGCCTCTCTCTCTCACCGGGAGCATGCCGCATACCAGGCATTTCCACACCGGTATTAGCATGGCCAACCCTAGCAGCCTACCCGGCACAAAACCAGATTCGCCTTGGATCTCGCATTGTTCGTTCAGTGCTGCTTTTTGCTCGCCGTAGTGTGTACGGTTTTGAAACAAGGTTTGTTTCCACCCCACGCCCATGATATATGTGAGACTAGTCTTCGCACCATTCATTTGAATCGTGCTGTCCGCCCATTCTGAACCGACAGCAGCACTTCAGTGTCTGGCAACCTCGTCAGGTCAATGTGTTTCAACACTGAACTTCGAACGCTCCCCGTGCTAACTGGCTCAAGTTGGTGGCGGGAGGCTGTTACCGCCTGCCTGTTGCTAAAGGGCCACTTTGTTCGTCTTGTCAATATCAGCTGTATGTTTAGAACCATTTGAACCTTGTCCAGCTACACCATGGTGCTGTGGTGTGGTGCTTCCCTATTGCTGTTGTTGCGCTTGTAGTATGACATGACGATTGCAAGAAAACGTCGCAGGCGTAGAGCAACACCGGTTGACTTGATTTGACTTGAGCATCATTGCAAGCTGAGCGACCGTGACCAGTCCAGTTCTTCCATGGTCGACTTTATCGCGAACTCTCTTCACGAGAAGTCTGTGCAAGCCCGCATCTCCCAGAAACTCTTGGAGCTTCGGCCTAAGCTGGTGCGAGGATTGCTACGTTTAATGCCATGCGTAATTGATACCCCTGTCAGTTAACAGCAAGCACGACGAATTGCTACTTCCACCACTGCTACTCCTAGAAGTGCTAGTGCTACTGCTGGTTACAGCAACAGCAACAAACACTCTCTTAGTACTACTACTACTACTACTACTGCTACTACTACCACTACTACTACTACTACTACCACTACTACGACTTGCGAGGACTAGTACTAGTAGTAGTAGTAGTAGTAGTAGTAGTAGTAGTAGTAGTACTCGTACTATCGCTACTACGACGACTACTACGACTACTAGTACTACTAGTACTACTACCTTTACTACCACTACTACTACTACTACTACTACCACTACGACTACTCCTACTACTATTATTATGATTACTACGACGACGACGACTACTACTACTACTGCCGCTGCTAATATCATTACTACTGCTACTACTACTACTACTACTACTACACTACCACTGCTACGGCTACTGCTGCTACTACTGCTACTGCTACTACTACTACTACTACTACTACTGCTATTCCTAATGCGGCTAGTACTTACTACAAATACTGCTAGTGCTACTAGTACTAGTCGTATTTCAAGTGCTGCTGCGTATTCTTACTACTACTATCACTAGCACTACCATTACTACTACTACCACTAGCACTAGCACTAGCACTAGCACTAGCACTAGCACTGGCACTAGCACTAGCACTAGCACTAGCACTACTACTACTACTACTACTACTAATAATAATGCAGCTACTGATCCTACTATTGCTGTAGCTACTCCTACTCCTACTCCTTGTGCACATTCTACTGCTACTCGAGCCTCGTAGTCGTACTCTTACTCGTACTCAAACTAGTGCGCAAGCCCCTCTCCCACGAGTTTTGTCACGAGCAGCGCCAGAGAGCGAAGTTGATCCTTGGCAAGAGAAAAAAGAACAAACAGCGAGCGGCCGACCACGTCAAAAACAGACCGCCGAGGGAAGGCAAAAAACGGCCACCACGCCTCGCGGACGGACGCACAACGAGGCCAGCGCGTCGACTGGCTCGAGCCCCAGCTTTCCCAGGCTGCCCCCGCCGAGGGTCAATACAATACCCAAAACAGCCAGTTGGCATGCACCCAATCGACACAGCTGAGAGTAGCCGGCTCAAGGGAGAGATGAGGAAGGCAGAAGTGGATCCGAAAAGGGTGGGATTGCGGGAGGAGTCACTCAGACTCAAAATGCGGACGAGCTCGCAAGGCCCATGCCCGTACCTGGAACATCTTGTGCGCAATGAGCTTACATTCAGAGAGTTGGGCCAACCCATGGCACATGTAAATGCGGTTAGTTTTGGCGGACACCAAGCGACCTTCGAAGCACATAGCCGCCCTGTATTCGTCCGGGTGCTCCGCCCCGCCGCAGGGAATACCATCGACAAGGAGCTTCTAGCCCAAGCTTGTGAAGAAAACCATTCAGCCGTTTTCGCTAAGTCTCGGAAACACTCCCGATAGATGATCACCTGGAGATTTTCGTCTACAGCAGTTGGCCACGGCGGCGCCAACAAATGTGTTGGTGATCGGCAGCGCCCCAGTAGCGCCCAATCGCTGACCGCTTTTGGAAGGCGGTAACGTCCAGGTACCAATGCCTTTGGAAAGCAGAAAATCTCGCACCTTAGCCGCAAAAAGCTCGCCGGAGCGGGCAAACGCATGAAACCCCAGAATGAAGTGGACAGCGGCATCAGGCCACTTTATCTCAAAGGCCAACGGGTGGGAGATGGTAAAAGGGGGAGCCCGGGCAGGTAAGTCAGAACGTCCCCACACGCCCTTCACCATGTTGGGCTCGGCATAGTGAAAAAGACCATCGTACCAGGGATCGCTGATCCAACTCCTTTGTGCCCTCGACATCCCTCGACTATCGGCGCCAACCTCTTTGGCTCAGGCCGGCGAAAGCTGTAGAAGGGTTCGTTCGGCTTCTCGAGCTTCGGGCACCCTGGCTTCAGGAAACGCAACGCAATCCTCCCGAAGCCCCCGAACACCTCAACCACGAGCACGCTGTCACAGGTCCTGCCGAAGTCATCGCCGGAGCCGAGCATGTGGCATTTGGCCCGTCCCCGCGAGGACAGGCCAGTTGACACACATGCCCCGCCCCCTTCCAACAACGAGGCGTCCGTAGCATACACTTGCGGGCGTCCAACTAGCGCTCAACAAAGACGCACGCCAACGGCTCGCCTTGCCAACCTTGAACACCTCTCGGAGCCGAAATTGAGTATCCAAGGCTTTCCTTCACAGTCCCACAACGGTGGCCGCAACCACTTCGAATCCATCATAGTTGTCCACATAGAAGCTGTGAGAATCACGTGGGTCCGACAAAGGCAGCAGCGGAGCAGGCTCGCCCATCTTCGCCACTCGCTCAGGGTTCACTCCGGCTAGGCTTCCAACCACTCAAGGGAGCTCTGCACAAAGTCGACGAATCAGGCTTGGGAA